AGAGAGAGAGAGAGAGAGAGAGAGAGAGAGAGAGAGAGAGCAATACATTCATTATGGCCAAGGAATTAATATGTTCAAATTAACATTTTTTAATGCATAATATAATTATTTTTATTTAAAAAAACTATTTTTTAGTTAAGAAAATATTTTTTTGAATCAATTAAAGTCAATCAATTAATCAATTAATTCTTCAATAAACTTTCATGAAATTTTTCAGAATATTGTTACAGACAATAGTCTGTAACAATAGAGTCTGTCAATAGAGTATTGTTACATTAATGTTACAGACTCATGAATTTACGTTGACGGAAGACAAAATATATTTTTCAAAATAATAAACTTTTAACTTATTTCAAGGAAATATTTATTTAGTTTAAAAATTGAAATATTTATTTTAAACCCTTAAATTGAATCGTTTTCCGTCAACGTAAACTACACTCATGAGTCTGTAACATTAATGTTTGTAACAATACTTTGAAAAATTTCATGAAAGTTTATTAAAGTGTTAATTGATTAATTGATTGAATCAAAAAAATATTTTCTTAACTAAAAATAATTTTTTCAAATAAAAATTATATTTTGCATTAAAAAAATGTTAATTTGAACATATTAATTCCTTGGCCATAATGAATGTATTGCTCTCTCTCTCTCTCTCTCTCTCTCTCTCTCTCTCTCTCTGTCTGATTTTAGAAACTTATTATTTTATATTTAAAAAATCATTTTTTATTTTTAAAAATATATTTCATTAGAGTTACAACGAATAATGTCTGATAATTCGTGGAAGAACGCTTGCATACAGGTAGAGTTCGTCAAATTGAACAAAACTATACTTTAGGGAGCACGTGTCTTGAATTGTTTCATTTCATCAATAATTTCGGCGACGTTCTTGCAACATCGCGACGGAGAAGTTCGCACTTCGCACGACCGCCGGAGGAAAAGTCAGAATCTTCGCGACATCTTACTCATCGCTCGGTAGTCGAGGACGTGAGCTGCACGGTGTTTGAAAAATGTATTATCGCAATGTACATCGCTGGCTACATTGCAGCGGCAAGATCGCATCTTCGCGCGGCTGCGCTCGTTATCATCGCACAAGATGTTCATTACACGTTAAGCCGCCGTGGCTGCTTTAGTTATCCGCCTGCTGACACGCTGAATACGGTTTCTATTTTCTCATTAGCATACTTGCCGTTTCGTGCGCGACATCCGCCGCGATCGCGCAGGCGGTCGATGTGAGTCCCACGTCGCCGGGCCGACGTCACGTTTGACAAAAAGTGTTCATCAGAGAATTCACCAGAAGGCAACTCCCGCGGTATCTCACGCAAAACTACAAATCGTCCGTTCACAACGTCCAGTACACCCGACGTTCGTTCGCGATATCATCTTGATATTCGATGTCATGGGAATAACAACGCGACAAATTTTCTTGTGAGTATCTACCTAGACAGCACACGATATTCCATGGATATCGTATGAACGTTCTTAGGATATAGAGGGACATCCTCTGAATGTCTTTAGGATGTTCTGAGAGATTTGTGCTATCGTGGTATAATCTATCTTTTTTTATATTAATCCGTTTTACTGATTATTATAATATCTAAAAATTAATTAAACTGTCAGAAAAGATATTTGATCAAAATTTAATAAAAATTCGAACAAAAAGATTTTAATAAGATAAAATAATTATTATTGGAGACGGGTATATGAAACACAACAGACCGTATGTTATTTCAAAAATTAATTTTATTCAGAAGTAGATTTAAAAAGAAAAACCAATATATTCACACACACATACATACACAAACAATATTTATCAAATTATAATAAAATAAGAATTTTTCCTATAAGAATTTATCCAAAAAAATATGTTATTCTTAGCAAAAACCCTTATAAATATATATATACTTTAAAAGACTCCTCTAACACCAAAAGAAAAATATTCGAATAACACCAAAAGAATAATATAATACTGTTCGGATGAGGGTGAATAACCAGGAATGAATTCTATTCAATGAATATGACCTCCATCCGCCATTCTCTATTTTCTTTTATTTTTCTTTTATGCCAAACCGTTTGGTTCAGCGCTTTGGAGAACCCGAGAGGTGAGGAATGAATCTGAGATCTTCGGTATAATGTCAATCTAGGATCGATTATCAGGTAGATCGGAAGGCGACAATTTGCATTAACACAAAACAGTTTATTTGTATTAATTTAGCAAACACACACTCGGGCAGATCAACGATAGCGAATATATGAGCGCTGTCGGTCGCGCTGTTTTTATTATATTACGTCAGTTTCCTTAATACGATGTACATGGATTGTATACATGAATCCCGGATCGATTGTCTGTCGCAGACTCGTGTGTTCTTCGCGTGACAATAGATCAGCTGTTGTTGTCGCCGAATATTTGCAACTCTTTAACCCATTGGCGTATTGTCTGAAATTACGGCAGGGAGCTTGCGACAGGCACGATCGCAAATAAACCGGAGACTCCGGAACAAATACCCAAAAAAGAACTCTAATGCAAAGTGCTGTTTCTTGTAATCACATAAAATCTCTTACCGAAAGAGTAGTTTCTATTTTAATGAAGTGAATTCTATTAAAAACAAGACTTTTATTCTAAATAAAAGATAAAAGATAAAAGATTCTTTTTTTATCTTAGGAACATTATACTTAGAATATTTTCTTCTTGGTTTAAAAAAATCCTCTTGAGGTTATATATAAGAAGATTCCGCTAAAGATAAGATTATCTTTTTTTGGACGAAAATAACTTCATTGAAGAGTTTGCGATAGTTTTTCTTTTAAACCGAGAAAAACTTTCGTTACCTGCTGAACGTATTTGCGAATCGATTTGTGGCTCAGAAAATGACGTGTTCGTGGACATGACATATCGTCGAGGATGTATTCGGGACTTTACGATGTATATTAAATATTTGTCGTAGGATTTAACACGGTATCGTCGACAAGAGAATACTGTAAATGCGATCGGGACGCGAAATCGCGCACGAAGAGCACGCTGTCTTATTTATTCTTGTTGATTCAGATTTACTATTAAACAACTGTTAATTACACGTGTCGCGCGCATGTTTGTGCGTGCGTAGAAGGAGGAAAACATACATTCTCGCCTTCCGATAAGCTCGTGAGATCGAATTCTACGAATAAATGCGTAGATTTCGAGTCGTAGATTTCAGCCGTACTTTTGACCTGAACCATATTTTCTAATACATTTATATATTCTGAAGAATTAATGTATATTTAATACACATGGAAACTGAAATCTTATTTAGCATCTCTAAATGGCAGAAAACACATAAAATGTCATTTGTTGATTTTAAAGAAAACCTTTCGTTAAAATAAGATTTCAGTTTCCATGTGTATTAAACATTCATTAATTCTTCAGAATATATAGGTGCTAGAAAGTTCAGGACGAAATTACGGCTAAAATTTCGACTGAGGATCTACGCATTTATTCGTAGAATTTGATCTCACGAGCTTATCAGAAGTCAAGAATGCAGAATAGATTAAATAGAATCAAAAGATATATAGTTTAAAGTATTAAAGTAGACTTTAAATGAGATATTGAAGTCGAAAGTAGAATCAAAATTTATACTCGAGATGATGAGCTCACGTTAATCGGTGGAGATAGCAGTGAGACTATTTGCGCGAATTTTGCGTCGAAAGACAAAATACCTGACAGTCACGAGTAAAGGTTGATGATTGTCGATTAGTGAAATCCCGGAAACAAATCTGTTTTTCTCATAAATGATCTTTGAGCTAGGCGGAGTTCGAATTCCTAGTTAACATCAGTAAAAAGAAGAAAAGGTAGAAAAAAAAAGAAAAAGTAGACCGTGTTTTCTTAACTCTTTTATCAATATCTAAACCAAGTAAGAAATTAATTGCAAGACATTAATTACTTTTTTAATTGATTATTGTGTTTTATTGACGATTAATATCAGCCATTTAAATTAAAAACCATTTAATTAATTTCAAAATATTTAATCGAAAACCGTTCGAATAATGATTAGTTTCAATTAAATTAAAGATCGTTTAATTGGCGATTGATATGGGCAAAGGGAATTAAAGATCATTAGTTTAGTTAATAGATGAACTTAGTAAATTTAATTAAAGGCCGCTTAATTGACGATTGAACTTAGTAAATTTAATTAAAGGTCGTTTAATTGACGATTGATATGAACAAATTCAATTGATTCAATCGAAGATTTGGTTTAAATTGACGATTGATACGCTCAGTGTTCCTTTCAACGCAGGTCTTACTCAATCATCGACATTTTCCACGATGCCACAATGCTCTGAATATGAATTATCCGCAGAACCAATTGTAACTTGAGTAATTGAACGATTGAATTAATTGAATTTGCTCATATCAATTATCAGTTAAACAATCTTTAATTAAAGTTGTTAAGTTTATTAAACGGACTTTAACTAAATTTGCTGATTAATTAAACGGACTTTAATTAAATTGATCAACTATATAAGAAAAGGCCAATAGAAGCCAAGCGCAAGAAATTTTATGCGAAAAGTTTGATAAGTTTTTTTATAAATAATATATAAGGAAAAGAATTCCTTTGTGCATACGTTTCGGTTGATTATTCAACCCTTCTCAGTGCAATGTATAATTCGCAGTTTGAAAAATACACTTAATACTAATGTAAACTGGAGTTATATCACTGGAAACATGGTGTTCCAATCTAATAAATATGGCCGTGTAAAAAGAAGTTCAAAAGTGTTGCGTCTGCAGTTAATGGTAAATAAAAGTGATAGTCAGTAGAGGTGTGACTTACCCAAAAGTTTCTTGACAATTAGAAAAGAGTCAAGAAATAAAAATGAAAAACTTGTTGCGTGAAAAAAAACTGCGAGCAACACCCGTCCTAAAAGCTATAAAAAGATATAAAAGAAAGAAAAGTGTCTTACCACAAACAAGCAGCGTAAAGTTGGCATAATAGACGACGTGATAAATGATCAAAAGTTAAAATTGTGTGAGCACAGACAACGCTCCCTAACGATATATACGACCTCAACTGCGGTTAGAATTATGTACGGTGTTATCGCAAGTGTACAGAAAGACGAATGTTTACAAAACAAAGGCACTGTGTTATGCTTAAATTATATTGCTTACTTGTTAATAGTAGGAAGATAGGAATCGTCAAGTTATTCCGTGTCGTTTTGTAAGTTGATGCATTTTGTTGTTTTTTAATAGGTAACATTTTAGAAATGTCTTTTTAAGTAAAAGTTTTCTTTGTCGAGTATTAAAATATTATCCCAGACGAACTAGTCATATAGTACACTCATGATGTGGTCAAACACAACGGAGGGATTTGGAGTGATTGATCCTTTTAGGTTCTTAAGGAAAGAGACAGCTAGTCAGTCCAATATATGTACATGGAAAAAAAAAAAGATTTGGTTGAATTAACCAAATATCTACTCAAATATGAACGATCCAGAAATTCCGATTAAAGTAACCCGAATTCTGTTTAACAAGATTTTTGGTAGACTAACCAAATATGTTTGATTATTTAACTACGTCTGGTTAAATAACCAGACATGTTTGGTTAATTTACCAAAAATCTTGTTAACTTAAACAGAATTCAATCGGACTTCAATCGGAATTTCTGGATCGTTCATATTCGACCAGATATTTGGTTAATTCAACCAAATCTTTTTTTTCCGTGTAGTATTGCAGTTTTTACAATTTAATTTATAAACGACATTATTATTAGCGAATTTAGAGATTGGATCTTTTTAGATTTTTATTAGTCCTTTGAGCTTATTATGGTACCAAAGATTGATTTCTCATCCATTATTAGGGTAAGTTTGTCAAGTTGTACTGAATAATCTTTTATATATGAAATAGAGAAAAACTCTTTGCAGTCCTAGCTGTAAAATATGTGCGAGAGGAAGCCGTTTTCCTTCTAAATATACAGAAAGACAGAGAATAGTTCTTTGTTCGTGATGCCAACTCAAATTAGAAAAAATTGACTTACATTAAAAAAAAATTAGAAAAAATTAGACTTAATTCGACTTAATTAGACTTAATTCGACACATATTAGAAAAAAATTGACACACCACTTTTGTTCGCAATATTTCATACATAGTCCTATAACTTAAATAATTTCTCGAATTCCCTTTAAGAACACATTTTATATATCTAAAACTTTAAAAAGAGATGCAGAAAGAGAAAAATAAATTTCCTTGATCCACTAAGATAGAGTTCGCTTAATTATGAGAACAGTCGCTATTCTTAATTGATTCTTTTATCAAATTTTATTAATTGCAGTGCTATATTTATGATTGAACCATTAATTATAAGCAAAATTGATTAATAACTAGTTAATAATAATTAGTTATAAGTGGAGTTAAAAAATTAAAATTATTAAAAAATTAATAACTTTTAACCTGCCTTAGTTAA